AATATTAATAACTGGAGAGTTTTCAACTATAACTTACACGATGAAATGTATCATCACGGAGACGATACATTTAGAGAACATGATACAAAAAGATTATTTTGTGATACTATATGTATTTATTTATGGACGAAGATTAAACATTTTCAAGATTATTTTGAAGGCGGTTTATTAGAGAGAGTTCAAGATTTATTTGATTGTAGTAATTAAACGACATAAGTATAATATAATTGTATTTCATAAGAAGTTATGGAGTATGATTATATTATAGTTATATTTTTTGTTAAGAATTCTACGAGAACAACCTTGCCCATTTTCGGAGGTTAAGGTTGGGTTTTTGGAAGGGTTTAAGGGTTGAGGCGTTGAGGGGGCGAGTGTTTGAGAGAGGGTTTTTTTTAGATAAGGGTATGTGGAGAGGTTTGGTGTTAAGGTTGGGTCTTAAGGTGGTTTTTTGGAAGGGGTTTAGGGGTTGGAGGGTGGAGAGGTGTGATGTTGAGAAGGGTTTTTTATTGGATAAGGGTATATGAGGGCGGTTTTGGGGTGAAATTGGAGGGTTGGATTGGGGTGTAGTTATGGAATGGGGTTTGAACCATAGGGGGGGGTCTATCGGTTGAAAATGGGCAAGGTCATTGCTAACTGCCCGGTGGGACGAACGGCCAGTAGCTGCAGACTGCCCAGCCATTCAAACTGCTTGCCGTTTGCTCATGCAGATCCTGACTGAGCAAGATCTTGACAAGCTTTTGTCCACGTTACATGTTCCAACCTTCCACAACTGGCTGAGGTGGTTACACTCGCGAAGCACAGCAGTGCAGAGAATCTCTTAGACCGTGTGAAACAGCACCTTTCTTCCGCCTTCGCCAAGTTCCAACTTCCAGATGACGTTTTAGCCTGCTGCCTATTGTGTACGTCACTCTGTGCTTTCTTTCGTTTCGATGCCAGATCGAAACAGCTTCTTTGTGCCCACACGCTTGCAAGGTGTGGGACGCGATTCCGATGACAACAACCGGGAAGCTCGATAAGAAAGTGATCCGAGGAAAGCTTAGCGAAGCGAACTACGTTCTGCCGTCGGAGCGATCTCCGCAATCGAAGCTTTGACCATTTTTCCACATACACCAGTTCGTGCTAGTGGCTGCATTTAGCAGCACATTGCTGTGAAGATCGCAGCCGACTCTAGGCGCTTAGAGTTGTAGCTCGAGCTTGGCCATAAAAGGAGACCCTTTCTGTGCTTTCCACAGACACTGCGCTGACTTCGGCAAGTGGTGCAGACACGTCTTGCGGAGGCTCGTGAAGACAGCAGCCCAGCGTGGTGGGCAGAGCTCGTCGAGAACGGCAAGCGACCGATCAACACCTCGCCAGAGTTCCACGGATCTCTGACTAGAATTGGGAAAAGTTGTATTCGAAAAGATTTTGCTGGCCAGTTGCCTGTGGTTGAGCGAGAGAAGGTCTTATGCGCCGTCACAAGCCCAATTCTCCACTCGGACAGCTGGCCAATGTCAGCAACTTCTTACACTGCCATGGAGATTTTGGCGACCCGCCTGTGTTAGTGCGCGCTCGGACCATGCTGTGGCGGGGGGAGAGGGCAGGCTATTGAATGTTTTCAAAGACATGTCGAGTTGCTGCCGAGGCGAGGTGTGTCGCGGCCCGCAAATTTAAGATGCTTATGGCTGCGTCGAAAAAGTCGGAAATCCTCGTCTTGTTCAACATGAAAGCTAACCTAAGTTGCCATCAGTTGCCAGTTGTCCGACTGGGTGCCCGATGGCGAGGATTGAGCTCTGCAGAGGAAGCGCCGTGAGTGCCAAGCCAATATGTGTGCAAGGAGTTTAAACATGACGGAACTGCGGCTACAACAAGATGAGCCAATGTCCAGAAGTCGTTTTTCAGATGCTCTCAGATTCCTGCATGGATGTCGCGCCGAGGAGAAATAAACAATGCGCGGACGAAAGAATAGTTTTTTGACGAGTTTTCTGTGGCTTTGAGGGCAGCCCAGGCTGCGTATAACATCGGCTGACGTGCTTCTTGAGGGCAGAACAGCGGCGAGGCTGCGCAGCCGTGTTGAGTCTTGTGCACAACCAAAGCCCAGCTTGTTCGGCTCTTCCGCAAAGCTGTGATTTTGCACCCTAGCTGCCAGGGTCGGTGTGAATCTGCTTCTGAGTGACCACAGCATGGGTCAACAAGTGTCCGGTTGACAATTACGAGCTCCCTGAGAAGCATCTGCAGCGTCGAGTGGGAAGCATACTGGGTTCATGGTGCATCCTTCAATTATTGTTGCAAGTGTCGGGTGGCAGTTTCTTCAGACCGAAGATGTGCCAGATCGAATAGTCACCCCTTCGTGACATGCAACTCCCGAGCTGTATGTGGGATCAACACTTCACGACTCCTGCAATTAGTGATGTTGTGACCAGTGCTTGCGGCCTCTCATGGCCACATTGCTGAATGCTTTCGGCCCTCTGCCCGCACTGCCATCCTGCTGGTACGATGCAGAGCAGTGCCTGCAGTCGATGCCTTGGAAAGAGCGCCAGATGAACGGCTGCTTTACCTTCGAGTGCTCTTACAGCAGATATTGGGAGGTCTGTAGTTGTCAATCGAAAGTTGGTGTTACATAGCAGACCAGAAGAGATAGGTTGCTTGGCAGGGTGTGCTGCATCTTCGACGGACATCTTGGAGAACGATGCTGGCTTCCTGGTTCCTTGTACACCTATGAACATTGCTGTTCGCTGGCGATCGGTTCTGACAATCAGACCCTCGGCAATGGTCAGTGAAGCTTAGTCGTAGTCGTAGTTCTGCTTAAGACGCAAGCTCAAATTCTGACTGACAACCGGAGAGATGGCAGGCAGGACTTTTCTCGAATTCCCATGTGTGTGTGTGTCGTGTTTAGGGCATGAAAGATTCTGCAGCCATTTGTGGACGTGGTGGTGCATGATTCCAGCATTACATCCGATTGCTTCCTTTACCAGCAGAGGCGTCACATCCCGCTCTGGCACTCCAAGCACGTGCTGGTGAAGCTTGAAGCGCAATTTGCAGAATCTGCAGCCTACAGGGAAAAAGGCCAGCTCATATAGAAATGATGAGTTTCTTGGCGACCCTCAGCGGACATGCACTTCCGGCTCAGGCCGCATCCTGACACTTGACCAGGATGCAGCCAGCCGAGTTTGTTGAAGGTTTCACCTATCCCGTTGGTGCCAGTTTGGTTTGTGCAAGTCGTGAGGTACCTGGCACCTTTGAGGGGGAATGGCAGATTTATCAACCACAAAACGTGCCGCCGCGAGGAAGCCGCATTAACATGCAGTAAGATGTTGTCAGAGCGATGAGTGAGGTACCCCTGGTGCTGTGGGAGTCTGGCTACCTGATGATGCGCTGGCTGGAACATAAAGCCATGACTTCTGGCGTTTTCAGATCCTTGGCTTTCAAGTTTAGCGTGCATATCGCCAGGAAGCTGGCATGTTTGCCATCCCTGATCGGTTTGCAAGGAGGCAGCCGTGTCCTCGAGCTGGGTGCCGGAATCGGTCTTGCCGCTATTACAGCCACGCTTGCTGGAGCAAAGGTGGTGGCGACGGATGGCTCTAGCGACACACGATGATTCAGCAAGATTCTTTCTGCTGTGGAGCTGTCTCCGGTTTCTAACGAAAACCCTTCAATGAAGATTCAAGTTTTGCCCGAAAAAGGCGGCGACACTGCTAGGGCTAGGGATACTTCCGTGCCCATTGTAAAGTCTTGTTTCGTCTTGGTTTCAGGTCTTCGGATGAATGTAGGCGCTTCCTGAGATTGTGACAAACGTAGCGACTGAGGCGAGGCGGTTCAGCTGATTTCGAGGACAGAACTTCGCCTTGCAGCTTAGAGGTTGTGTTCGGGAGGAGGAAGCCCAGGGGTTCTTTCGAGGGCCCACACCCCAAGCAAGCAAGCGAGAGAGAGAGCCTAACACGGAGAAGCGATCGATCTGGTTGGTCCACTTCCAAGGCCATGTCCACTCCCTGCTTTCATTCAGCCCCGCAAAGCCCGTTCTTGCCAACACGGGTCGGCCTTCGGCCCGGGAGCTGGGACGGCTCCTTGCGCCCGAGCGACGCAGAGAGAGAGAGAGAGAACGAGCCAACTTTGCCTTGCCTGAAGCTGGGTGTCGCCAGACGTGCACACAACTCCGAGGAGGCACCAAACTTGAAGTCTCTAGGGGTCCCTACTTGCTACCTTGCTGACAACCTGCCCCCACGGAGGCGTCCTCAAGAACCGGGCGACCCTCTCAACCAACGTACAGTCAACACCCCTCTGTCAAAAGGATGGATGGGGACGCGCTCCGGCGCAAGTTGGGGGGGAACCCCTGACTCTTACCCCGAGCAAAGCAAAGCAAAGCAAAGAACGAGCCAACCGTCTCTTTTTACAAACATGTTTGACTTCTTTCCCCCACAAGGCCCAAGCGGCCCAATAACAGGGGCGCACCGTTCGGTGCGGGGAGCCTCGAAAGCTCCCTTAGCCCCGGAGAACAGAACAAAACGAGCCAATGCCTCTTCTTTAACCAGAGAGGAAAGGGAGCGCCTGGGCGCGGGTCCAGGAACCTGGACTCACCCGGCGGAAAGACGGAAGAAAGGGAAGGAAGGAAGAGAGAGAGGGGGCCAACAGCAAGTGGCAATTGCACTCATGTGGACCCTGCGAGGGTAGCTCGACATTGAATGCTGTGCAGACTAGCTAATACTCGCTCAGCATACCCCCGCTTGTGAGAGAAGAGTGATACTTCTAGAATTCCGGGCGGTCCGGGCTTGCTTGCCTATCTGCCAGGCGTCAGTTGTAAAGGGCCAAAACGTGCTTGGTTCCTGTTGCTCTCAGAGGAACATCGAAGCAAATCTGGACAATGAGCAGGTGTCTGGGCAGCACATGACCCCAACGCCGACAAAGAAGTAACTACATGTGGTTGGGGTATGTTGAGGTCGTGTTGAGTTTTAACCATGTGTGTCTTTATTATCTTTCGGACATCAGGTGCTCATGAGGTTTTCTTGCTACGGCCCCGTTGGACTGAGGCAGCGCGGATCCGACCAGTACTCCTGGATTGGACAACCATCGTCCAAGGCACAACCTTTCAGTAGCTTGTAAGGATTTTTAACGCGTGACGCTCTCACCGGCTGAAAGTGCAGTGAGCCATTCGGAAATGGCGAGGGAGGGGGCATGGTAAGCCGAGTAGGATTGGTTTGACTGGCACAAGGTGCTGCCAGGGACCCGAAGCTGGTGAAGAAGTTGGCCATGCAAAGGCTCAGCGATGCTGGCGTGTCGGGACCGTTTGATGTTGTAGTGTGTGCCGCTCTTGGGTATGCAACTTGGCTTAGACAGAATCCATAGCCTTGGCCGGAGAAGTTTCGAATCAGTATCAGTACAGACCTGAGGTACCCGTCCAAACATTTCATGCGTTGCTCGGCATCCTCGACTTACTCACCGACAAGGCCAGGCTGTTCATGCAGTGGCAAACCTGACGTTGTGAACCTGGCCCAAGGACACCATTTTGTTCTGGGGCGCGGGAAAAGATTTCAGCCTTCACTTGAACCAGTCGCGGAATCACGACGAGAAGGCTGTCGAAATGGACAAGGCGCGAGCTTTCGAAGAGAGCAGTATGTGCATTTGCCCTTTGCAGACACTCGCCTCTCAACGTCAGGCATTCAGGATTCTGAATGACTTGGGACCCGACCGACCTTCACATTTGAATCTTTTCGAGCTGCGACGCCGACCTTCCTGGAGAGGTGCGCCTGTGTTCCTGATGAATGATGCAGAAACGAACTAGGAGCACTGAAAAAAGAGCAGAACAATCTGCCTGATTGAACCAAGCTGTTGAAATGGAAGATATGCAATAACCTACGTATCACAAAGACTTCTTACGAATCTACTCCAAGATCTTGATAAAACCCGGCTTCCAATCACCATGCTTATATCATCTGTAGCATCCCCACGAATCTGGGATGATTCGGGTGCGTAGCAGATTAATTGAATTAATGCCTACTTTCGATGATTCTAAATTAAGAATATCAAATTAGCATATATTTCGGCTCTTTTTCCTCAAAATCTTGGGATTTTTTTCTGGTAATTACTAAATAGGAAGGAAAATGATTTAGATAATTCTAAATAAATATTGAGATTTCTAGAATCGAATAATAATTATAATTATATAAGATATATAAGATTTCATATATAGAAGGCTGAGAAGATAATAAGAAGATTGAAATAATAAATATATAAATTACTATTGGAAAGATTCTATTTATCTATAAGATTATTTTATTTCTAGAAAAAAATATATAAGATTAATTAAAAAAATCTTATTTTATTTGAAAAAGATAGCATGAATATATAAATTGAATTCGTGCATAAATTTTGATTGATATATTCAAATTTTTATTTCCGAATTATATTGATATATCTGAAATATTCTATTATTTATATGTGGAATTATAGAATCATTTAGGTCTTAGAAATCTAGGTTTTCTTTCAAAATAATATATAAATTAGGAAATATATTAAAATCGATATATATAATTTCTGATTTTGAGGATAGATTGCATAATTTAGGAAGTTTATAAATATTTCATTTGGTTGTCTCGTGAGTAAAGTAGTGTGTAAGTCTGAATAAATATTTAGATTTATTTCGGTAGGTTATGTCTCTAAATCGATTCTTTATAAATTGCCATGAGATCTAGAGATGAATTTGGATATGAGCAGATAAATTGATTTCAAAATAATTTTCAGAGAGGCGTGATTTTGGAGATTATTGAGGCAAATAATTGATTTTTTAAAGAATAGTAGCTCGATAGGGAGGAGTCTGGGCACGTAAGTAATCGGAGAAGTGGGGATGCATAATAAGTGGTTGATTTGGTGGCGAGTACAGAGATCGTTATACGTCTGGAGAAGGAGATAATAATTCTCTGGATTAAAGTGATATATTGTCTTGAGGATCGAGGTCATTTATTTGGTTGGATTGGATAGGGAGAAATAAATATACTGTATTGGTTAGTCTAGGAGCTCTAGTTCCGAGGGATGCTGATCTTTTCAAGTATATTGAAGATAAAGATGGAGTGTAATAATATCTTCAGTATATGTGGTTAGATTTTGGTCACTGGTGCAGGGAATTAAGTCTAGCCTATTGGATATAACGCGCCATATTTATTTTGAGAAGCTGATAAATCAGCTTATCGAAATAGGAGTGCAGTTGATGGAATAGAATAAATATTTGAAGAATGAAATAGTCGAAGGCCGCTCTAGGATTTCGGGCGTGTCCGGAAAGGATAGGTCTGAGCCTGTGTAGTGGGAATATATAATGAAAAATGAAGGTATGGACCGTCGAAGGTTTGTAAATAAAGATCAAGAATGGTAAGGAAAATAAAGATTTTGAGCAAGAAGATTGGTTTATTATGATTAGGACTTTCTCGGGGAATATAATAGCGCTTCGGGGTTGCCGATAAGTTGTCCTGTCGATCAGCTATCGGCGGCTAGAAGGACCCTTCAGAACTTGACGCTATCGGACAGTCTCCGTCGAAAGTTGAAGTATTTGCTAGCTCTGCCTGCTTTGGTGCTAAGATATTAGAAATTGTTGCAACTAGGAGTGCTCAGGTTTCAGAGCCTAATATTGCACGAGCCTGATATTCTGGTATCATCGAAGGTCCCATCCCGGTCCCATATTCGATCCCCGCCGGGCTAAGATTGAAAAAGAATATTGGAAGGAGGCAATCTGTCAAAATCTATTGAATCCCGCCTGGATTCAAAGAATAATCTGAGTCTATCTTATCGATAAATTTGTTGTATTATTATATTTATTTATCATGAATGCCCAAATTAATACTCATTCTTCCGCGTCAAGTTCTACTTCATCCATGCCAGATGCTGTAGTCGAGATATGGAGGCGGTGTCGCAACCTCTCAATCAGAATAACTAGGATAACGTCTAGAAGCACTACAACAACGGAATTTCCCAAGACCATGAAGCATCTTGACCCCTTTTGACTTTTGAGGGAGGTATTACCACCAGAGAGGTCACGTCGGAGAAGACGGTACCGTGGAAATGAAAAAGAGGTGATTTCTACCACCGGAGAGCTCGTGCCCGCAAACTATTCCGTCGGGGGCGTTTGCGATATATTTTATCGCTTTTGTTCTTTTTGTCGCGATTTCTATGGCTTTTCGTTTTATTGCGATTTCTTGCTTTTTCAGTTCCTCGACATTTTGGCCCAAAGTGCTTCTTGTCTTCCTTTGCTCGTTTTTACTGGCGATTTTCGTCTCAGAGTTTCTGTGCCTTTGATTGGATTTAAAATATGTGCATCTTGGAAGAAAAATGCCGCTCTCCTATGGTTATTTCGCTCGGATGGTATTTTGGATTGAATTTGTATACAAACATTGAATGGGGGGTTGCGCCCCCCGCTTACTTCTAAAAGTAAGTGTTTGACTTTAAGATCTCCTTCCACAACTTAAACCCTGCACCCCTAAATCCAAAACCACTTTTATTATAAAAGCTAAACCCTAAACATTTATTACAAGCTAAACCCTACACCTTTATTCAGAATAGTCCTTCATTCCGCGTGAGGGCGCGCGCCACAGGAATGGCTGCAGGATTAGGAACACGGCTGCTCGAAAAACTGCTCAACCGATCAAATCCTGAAACCAGCCACAAAATAATTTAACAAATCGAATCCTAAAACCAGCTGATGCTCTGAGACATCACCTCCTAACCAATTTCAAAAACCTTGTAATAAATCAGCTCCTCAACTTGTGTATAAAACTACTTTTATAAACCCGTCTCCAAAAATCGCCTTGCGGTCGATCGCACACATTCACAACTATTGGTCCTAAGGCTGGAATTTAGATAATACAACAGTGATTTTATTCTTTCTCCCAAAATCAAGCATATACAAATATCAGAAATGGAGTATCTCATAATTCATCAAATATCAAACAGAATCCAATCAAATATATTTCATATGAAATTGCTCGACGACTCATACTCGCACAACTCTTCTTTTTTGCAGCGGCCAAAAAATCAAGAGATCATCAGTTAATGAGTTCGCACGCCGCCGTAGCGAGTGGACCCACTAAGCCCACCATGGCGAGCCATTCCATCGCACTTCCATTTCTGATATAGATTTCTCGGACGATAGCACATCACCCCCCAAATCGGAGAGAGTTGGGCGGACAAAATACAAAATCCGCCATACGGCTGTATAATACTATTACTAAAGATTTCCCACCATCCGCCGAAGCCCAAAGCGGAAACAAGTGTCAAAGTCACTCAATATATGCTCGAAAATTTCAAGTCAAAATTTTCTAAAATTTGGGAAAGAATAAAAACTTATCAATTATTATTGAAAATCGTCTTATTCTTTCTCCCAAAATCAATTTTGTACAAACGTCCCATGTTAAAACTTTCGAAATGGAGTATCTCATAACTCACCGAGTATCAAAGGGAATCCAATGAAATATATTTTATATGAAATTGCTCGACGACTCACATGCACACAATCCTTCTTTTACAGTAACGGCCAAAAAAGGTCAAAAGATGATCAATTAATGAGTTCGCACACCGCCGTAGCGAGTGTACCCCCTGAGCCCACCACGGAGAGTCGATACAGATTTCTCGGACGGCACATCACCTCCAGCCTTAGCCACGTGCGAGACGCCGAAAGTCAATGGAAATCCTGGCCCCCCATTCTGTCTTTGATATTCCCCTTGATGGAAAGTCGGCGATTTTTCGGAACCAGAGATTGATGAAGCAATTAGCAAAACATGCGTTGCACTCGCAATGCGGCTGCCAAGGTCGTTCTCGCTTCTGCCGTTGAGCATGGAATGCAATGCTCCTTCATTGTCTGTGAGAACAATCAAGTGACAACACTTGAAGAGCTGAGTCCTAACGTGTACACCACACCAAATCGCAAACTCAAGCTCGAAGATGGAGCTTTCGCTCCCAGCTGAGGTGCAATGCATCTCTCTCTTATATCCATGTTTCA